AGGCGGTGGGGGTTGGGGGGTTAGGGGGGAGGCGGTTTTGATTGCTTGATCCCCTAGATCCGCCACTGCGTGCATCAATGCATGCAAATATATTTGAATTATAAGTCGAATTATTCTCGCACTTTGATTGGTTCATACCTACTATACGATCAATTGAAGACGTATAGATGACGTCATTAACATTTTTCTTTATTATATTATTGAAATAGATTGCATGTTGCCATGCGTCTAATCAGTAATTGATTTCAGACGGGCACAAGATTATCGCATTAACAAATTCTCTTAAGTTAACGATATGAAAGCACAAACAAGCTGTACACTGTCTTAAGATATTGCAGCGACATAAAATACATCCACGCAACATTTGCAGTAAGGAGCTGATACTCTTAAGAAATTTTAAATAGTTCCTTCTACAGTCTACTGAGTTTACTGTGAAGATCACGGGCTTGTCTTCGCAGAGGTGGGGGGAGGGGGATGGTGGTGGTGGATATAATCGAAAGACTCGGCGTGCAAGACTTGTTCGGGCTATTGATGAATTCACTGAAGGCAGGAGATATAGCAAAACATCATAGGAACCAAAGAGGTTGACTACAACAAAGAAACATTACACGTACCATTTGCTTCATTCACGTTCCTTCGCTCAGCGACCGACAGGGCAAGTTCTTCTAAATCAGCATCAAGCTGTTCATTTTCTTTTTCTTTGCGTCGAATCAATCTCTTGATATTCTTTATAGCTTCCTTGCGGTCGTTTACATTACGATGATGCATCTAGACGATAAGGAAGAGAAATAACCCAGGTAAGATAGATAGGTAACACACCGTCAAAAAGACGTGATCGGATTAACTTAAATGAAATTTCTAATCCCTGTTTTCTAAAAGTCTTAGGATTATTTTTAATTTTAATTTAATTTATTTTTTAATTTATTACGATTTAATGGTCAGTGATAACACAAAAACTAGATAAAATACTATACAATTAAAAAAAAAAAGAAAAAATGCCACAAGGATGGTCAGCAAAAGAGACCATGCGAGGCAGGCACCCTGATAAAATAAAAGCATCTAAAACAGCTAAATCAAACATTTCTTGAAGTTAAGTAGTCCCTTACTCCCTTTTTAAAACCAGAAATACTTGAAGCCTGACGAACTGACAATGGCAACACATTCTACATGCCAACAAGCCTTTTAAAAAAGCTATACTTAAAGTTCATAGTGATTTTCCTCCACATGCTGTATAGACCAACCGTCCACTTGTGGTTCTGTAATTCCACTGTGTTCCATTTCGTATATAAGCCATACGTAACCATAGTTTCGTTCATTAATACAATGACATCAGCTCTACTGATAAAGCCGCTGACCTTTTCTTGTAACGTAAGAGTTTTCTCTAGAGTCTCAATCTCCTGCTGTTGCCTGGCTTGTTGATCTCCTTCAGAGAGAAACTGGGGCGAAACACACAAACAAACCAAACATCACTTGAACACTTATACTACAAAGCAGTCTTGTCTATGTCAGGGGATCGGAGCTAACTATTTGGAAAAATTCAGTCCATAAAATAAGGATACAAACTCTTAACCATCTTAAATGTACAATTTCAAAAACATCAGTAAATTATTGCTGTCGACAAATCCTCGGAAAACACCCGAAGAGTTTCCGATGCTGATTACGCAGTCATGAACAACACGACTACACGACAGCACCACAATTTGACTTACTAACAAAGATTATACGATACTGCTGCTGAGCAATCTAGCCGTATTTAATCTAACCTGTTGCAGCTCCTTAGTGACTCTCAGTAACTGAATGTCACGAATCTTGGCCTGGAGGTCTTCTGACTGCATGTCCATCTTTTTATGTTCCCTGCAAATAACAACAATACTCTGATGGTTATCGTCCTTGAATGCCTACATCACTTCCCTCTCATGGGTGAGTAATGTTTAGTACAAGATTATATTATTACACGGGATAAAAATAAGCTGGAATAAGAATGTTATACTTACCATTCCAATCGATGAATTCCTTTCCTGAACTCTTTACTGTCTTCCATGGTGGCAATCTTTCCTTTCCCGAGGGTCTATAGGATAGTGAGCATACATCAAGGACAAGTTTAGATCTCAGCCGAGAGAATCACACATTTCTGTAAAGAGACTTTTTCCTTGTCGAGAGGTGGAGAGGCGAACAAAAGACGCTTCATGTAATATAGCATGATCAATCAGTGTAGTCAACAAGTCACCTTTGGAAAATTTGGGTAGTGGACTGAATAGAGCTATTGTACAACGGGTGCGGTTTTTGTCCGTGATATTCACATACCGAATCACTGAGAGTAGCTGGAGTATGGAATTCATGGCCTAAGCCCTGTGCTGCTTTATTTAAGAAATAGTTTCGCTGAAAAGCGACTGCAGTAAGAAGGTGTCCTTACCGTGATTTGAGCGTTAAGATCCTCCACAACTGAGCGGTGAATCAAAGCACTGTCTGTATAGTCAGTGATGAAAGGGCCTGGGGACACCTCCACCTAAAATACAACCTAACTATGGTTAGATGTTCACTGAAGGAAAACACTAACAGGAGCTCAGTCACAGCATTCTAAGTTATTTTGGCCACTCGCAAAATTATTTTTAAATTGAAGAAAACCTGAAAATAGTAATTAACTGAGATGGAAAAACATCAAAGAGATAATAATAAACATAAAGGAACGAGGATGGTTAAGGGTGGAGAGGATTAACACGGATTACAAACGACCAACTTGAAAAATTTAGGCTAAACTTTTCAAGATGCGCAAACGGTGACGTAACTCATCGAAAAAAGAACCAACCTGTCCTTGTTTGAGCAACAGCTGTACTTCCAAGTTGATATGAAACTTCATTTTCTCATCTCGCAACCTAAACAAAAGAATAGTAAGCTCTCAGTAACTGGAAATGGCCAACGCGAAAATGGATTAGCTGACTCGTTCACGTTAACAAGTAATGTAGTACTGAACTAGTTGAAGAGTCTCCAAAAGTCATTTGTCCAATCAAAAAGAAGCTCGACGCTTTCCGAAGGCTATCACGTCGCCAAGACGAAATGACGACAGCTCATTTTAGTTACCAGTCTCTCTGAGGCTCGGGGCAAACGCCGTACTTCACATGAGCCGAACCTAATGACAGTTTGGGTTGACTCAAATAATTAATAGAACGCCTGTTTGAGTCAAACGTCGAACTTAATTCAGTCGAACCGAACTGCTGCACGACCCTACACCAAACAAATAACAAAAGCGGTCTTGTTGGTCAGTGGTTTTTCAACGTAAAGTGAAAATGGCGCCTTTAGACCTTTTATCATGCGTTTGGTTCGACTCATGTGAAGATCGGCGTTTGACCCAAAGTCGGTCTTCAGGCGTTATTCACGGCTGGCCAGGCGAGAAGAACGTCTCAGCCGCTCCAAATAAAATCGGTCGAGCTTAATTGGGTCAAACGCTGAACTTCACGTGAGCCTAATTGGGTTCGGCTCATGTGAAGTACGGCGTTTAACCTGGGCCTGACAGAAAACAATTGATTCAATTGAGGGCGCGAATAACACGGGTAAAAGATTGACAAGTGGAGGAGCGAGAGGATGTCTGCAATGAAAACAGAGCTTCTCATAAGGTAGACATTCCAAGCGACAATAGCAACAACCGGAGGCATCCCGTTCTCGAAGACAAACAAAATTCCCTGACTTTTCATTTACCACAACCTAATATTCAGTTATCGTGATTATGACTGAAGCATAATTCCTTCAGCTCGTCAGTTTGTAAGACCTGTATTTCTGCCCAGCATTCCACAAGTGAAACGAGCATTTAACACCTTAATTTTTGAAAAATAACATTGGTTTAAAACTATATCAGAAGGTGAAGAGAACTGAACATCAAATTCCTTGGAGCCTTGAATCTTGCATCGATTCTTAGGGACGGGAATCTGAACTAAAAGTTAGCTGTGTTCCCTTGACATTGACAGGTAACGATGGCAGCTGTTTACCTCTGTAGTTCCTGCAGAGTGTGTTCCAGCTCTCCGTTGACTTTTTCATCCTCTTCTGTTCTTCTTTGCATAAACGAATTCATTTCAGCTAAAATCAACGCCTTAGCTTTAACCTTTACAAGAAAAAAAAGAGAAACCACTATCACTCTGAAAAACTTTACATCTTTTTTGCCACACTCCCCAAAACAGCTCTTGAGATGCACAAACGTGCCTGGATCCTTGGCTCTGCTGATTAGCGCGATGCCAAGATATTGATTTGCTTGGAATATTCAGCGTTCTTTCACGATTTTTTATAGGCTTGTCACGCAAGAAGGAGGAAAAGATCGCGTGACCGGAGCAAACACTGTGTGATTAGGAGTGTCTACGGGTAATTTAGACTGGGGGATATTTTCTAGTATTTTACAAGGTACTGTCGTGATGGATTGACCTCTTGTTAACCGTACTGGGGAATATTGGCCCGAGCGCCAGCGGACCGAACGCAGCGAGGTTCGTACAAATACGACCGAGGGCCAATATTCCCCAGCACGGCTCGAGCAAACTAAGTTAGTAAGTAGTTAATTATATGGGACTCGGACCATGCTTTCGAAAACGAAAAATTGAACGGCTTATGGCCTTTTCCAAATCTCAAACAAGAAAGAACCAATCAGAACGCTGGGATTTACCTCAAGACTACCTTGCCACATAATAAAAGTAGCATAAGATGAAAACGTAATTAAATAAACAAAAGTACTTGTTGCTCGCTCTCGACTTTCTGTCTCCTAGCTTGCACCAGTCTTTGCCAGACAGCAGACTCTACCCCCTCAGGCATGTGCTGTTCATCATCTAATTCGTCCATTGCTCGCTCCAGGCTCCTCATAGCGACTGAATTAGTGCGCGAGGAGGAAGGCCTGGGACCAAATGGGCTTCCACTCTCTGGAAGTTCCCCGTGTGATTCTGTGGCAGCCTTGAGTTGTTTCTGTCCTCTGAGGAAAAACGAAAGACACAACTAGTTAATAACATGACAATCACATGATTCGCTGAAAAAGAGCTGTAGCAACTTTATCCGGTCCAATACTTAGAATTATTACATTCGCTAGCTCCGCTGGCGAGAAAGATGAAGCAAATTCTACGCTGTGATTGGCTACTCGAGCAGATATCTTGGCTTGCTTGCTGTGTCGCGAAGAAAAAGTGGTGATCTTTATGCTGTATAGTAAATCCTTTATTGAACACACAGAAAAAGAGCGAGGTTAAGATCAAGCCATGTAACCGAGACAAGCTTGTTCAATAACCAATATATATTGGACTCGGATTGCCTTAGTTTGATTGTTAGCCTTCTCGGCTATGTTAGTGCTCAATGACAGAGCAATTGGACACAGACTGTCCTTCTCACCTTGGCCTCCGTTTGAACAGTTTATATAACTGTTCCACTGTGTGCACATCCTGGTCTGCAAACTCCTTCTTGAACGCTTTATCCAGCGCCTTGTCTTCAGCTAACACGATCTCGTAGGAGTCACGGAAGTGATCCACCTCACGCTTGGCTTCAGCCAGGGCACCTGCTGTCTGTGTCTTCTTTTCTCTCGTCTCGTTCATCCGCCGGGTGAGCTCTGCCTCCTGATGCTCCAGCTCTGCTTCAGTCAACACTGACACCATCAAACGAAGGATCTTGAGATCCTCCTGTACAAACGAAAAACAGATCAGTATCGAACTTCTCCACTCAATACCAATACAAAATAATGGATGTTTGTTAACAGACTTTAAGAATTCATCAGCATAATAAACCATCAAACTCCCCGCCCTCCTCAACCAATATTGAACGAATTGTACGATGAAAAAGGGGAATTTAAACGCTTTGAAGTGGAACGTGTAGGACAATTTCGAGAACAGCCCAAAGAGTAAACCAATCACATAATAGAGCCAGCTTTTTAGAGCACAGAAAAAATAGAACGAACATTGTCACTTTCTCGCGCATTAGCTCGTCATGTTAAGAACACCTTACGTTAGTTAGCTGAATTTCTTGTGAAAAATATTTCTTGAACAGGGGTTGTAAATTAACAAGGTGCTTACAGTCAACGCCCCAAAGTAACGTAACCTCCCAAGGGTTGACGAAAAAGAAATGGTAGTTATCACGGAAGATACTGTTTGAATCAGTCAATGATTGTATCATATTGATCTGATCTGATCTGATCACGTTTAACGTTGGTGTAATAAGTTATGAAACGATGAACTGCGAAATAATGGTTTACTAAGATAGAACAACGTAAAGAAGGTAACAACAAGCCCCCGCCAAAAAAAGGCACGGCTACAGTTTCCTAGATGTAGAAACCGTGATGCAGCTCTTTTAGCCCCGCAACAGGACTTGGCAAAACAAACCTGGTAAATAACCATTTCAGTCTTGACTTTCCTCTGAAACAGCTGGCTCAGTTTCTCGTCAAATGAGGCGGTGGCATCAGTGATTCCACTCTGGAGTTTCTTGAGCTCAGTCTCCAGTGACTTGCGGTACTTCTCTCGGTCCTCCTGTAGCTGTTGCTTTTTCTTCTCGAAGTCCTTGGCGGCCTTCTGCTCCTCCTCGCTCCATTCCTCTAGCGGCTTGTTTGTTATGAACTCGGGTGGTACCAGATCCTTCTTGAGCTCATCTTCAGGGTTGGCTTCCAGCCTTCCCTGCATCATCATCATCAACGCCCGCTCCCGTGCGTTGTCACCTTTCTCTGCCAGGCGCCGCTCTAGAAAGAAGAAAAAAAATTGAGGATAACGTTTGTATTATTGTATGTGATTGGTTAAAAATCTTGCTGCAAGCTCTCCTCTTAGCCAATCATAAGAACTAAATTTCCCGCCTCGCCACCTTCGCTTGTCACCGGCTGCAGCTTTGCCTTAAGATCTCATTTGTTCTATACACCATTTGCAGCGTATAGATTAGCTGCGAGATTTCTATTCTACTGATGTTAAAAAAAGTCGATAAAACAATAAGGCACCCTTAAATTTATAATTTCCGTTCAATATACGTTTGTTACAAACCTTCTTCAATCTTGGCCTGTTCGTCAAGTCTTAGCTTCTCTTCAGGACTGATGTACTTTTCAAATGGTACTTCATCATTCTTCACCTCTAAAAGCAGTTCAGGTTTCTCATCTACGCTCATGTCAGGTTCAAACACGTTCTCGTCGATCTCCAGGTCACCTAGAATCTTTCTTATCCTGTCGTTCTTTTCCTTGACTCTTTTAATTTCAGCTTCTTTCTGTTTGAAGACTTCGTCAAACTCCTTGTTAAAAGCCACCTTGATTCTATGAATGGCGTCCTAATGTGGAGATTGCAAATACAGTGCTTTAGTCAATAAGTTTGTAACAAACTGCTTCAGACATTTTTTGTCGCTGGACTTGGGTTGGTAGAACATATTACCAGTAAAAGATCAAGGCAAAAAAAAGGTGAAAAAGAAAACGATAATGAAAAGAGCGAACAATAGACTGTTTTCGATTAGGATATTTTATAACAGACCAATTTCGATATATTAAAATTCAGCCTAACACAATAGACCCCAGAACGTGGCTCTGGGGAATAAACCCCACAAACTCCGTAGTTATTCCCTAGAGCCTCGTACTGGGGTCAATTGTTTTAGGTTGAACTTTAATATATCGAAATTGGTCGACTGGCAGCGAGGCCTTGAGGACAAAAACAAAGGAAATTGAATGAGATAGATGGATAGATAGTTGGTGCCAATTTCCTCCCTTGCAGCCAGAGGCTGAATTGCGGAGGAACCAGAGAAGTGAGATCGGACGTCAGCATATGAAGGCGCACTTTGTAGCCACTTCAGTCCATGTATGATCTCACCTTACCCACCCCAGACCAATGACCGGCACAAGTCAGATAGACCATGACACCGGGTTCTACGTCCCCTACTGTTTTCGAACAGTGTCATGCGTTCTTTAACGTCCCACAAGAACCAGATCAGTGAACACAATATGAGCATGTTTATTCCTTTCTTTTGTTTTTGCCTCTAGACCTCGCTATCAAGCATATTTTGTTAAGTGAAGGTAGCCCACTGAACGATATTTTCTAGGAAACATTCGCTGTATTACTCCATTAAAGGTGAAAGCAAAACAACTTCCAATTTGAGGGCCTCGCAAAACACCAATGCATTTGATGATACGAGAGCCTGCCGTTTTGTAGACTTCGTAGTTTTCAAGGAGACGACCTATACTCCAGAGTCCATTTATTCAACTAACCTCCTGAAATGTCACACACCCAAGTTATGAAGCTAATTTACATTATTCACACACACATTCCACACGCATACATTCACACGCTCGTTCCACACGCATGCATTCACACGCTCGTTCCACAGAATTTATTTATTGATAACCCTAACTCACCTGCAACAGAACAATCTGATTGAGTTTCTGCTGGACCGTGTGGAGCTGGAACTGACTCTGAAAAAGCTCATTCCCACCGCCGTACGCGGGGCCACGACTCCCGGATGTAGCAGGGTTATCACCAGTCTTCTCTTCTTCATCCTCAGCCAGGGCATCCTCGTCCTCAAACTCGTGACGTTCATCTGATTTAAGAACAGAAATGAGTAACAAACATGAAAGAAACTGAAGTTACTGGATTCCTTTCTTTCATTTTTCTAACAAAAGGTCAAAGTCTTTCAAGGACCAATACTGTAAGTCCAAAATCTGTGATGTTATGAAAGAAAACAATAGTGAAAACAACATATTTCAAAGCCGTTCAAGCAACAAATTCATTTTCCATAGACGCTTGAGACCTTGAGTTTAAGTTGCGCACCACCTCTGACACGAACACGCTTTTTTGTGGGAGAATACAATGTGAAGCTACTCGAGTTCTTTTACGAATACTTGTCCAAACAACCAATGATCATCTGACTTCAAATTTGGAAATTGCATGCATACTAGTTTTATTGTTAGCTTTTTCCTTGGTAATACCAAAGTTGCAAGATCACTTAAGCCTGGATCACACTTGTGAGATAAACATAACACTGGTGAAATAAGCCTAGGCGCAAGCACAAGAAAAAGGAACATGTTTCTTTCTCTGTGCTTATGCTTGAGCTTATTTCACTGCTGTTATACTTATCTCACAAATGTGAACCAGGCTTTAACAGCGTTCTTGATCTTACCAACAAGAGGTGTGTTCCTGGCTGAAGTCGGACCAGACACTACATCTTTCCTAGCCTCACACTCGGCCTGTTCAATCTTCCTCTGGTTACTGACATATTGAATCTCGTCCAGTTCAGCTTTGGTTCTCTCCTTCATCGGGTAGTTGGACACTGACAAAGGAAGATGAAAGGCATTGACTGACCGTCCCTTGACAACCATGGCGTCCCAGCATTCTTTCTTGATCATGTCTCGTAAGTACTGGTTGGCAAGATTAGCCAGGCCTATGTCCTCACGGACCTGTTATTACACAATATTAAAACCAGTGATAGATTTTTAGTATATGCCCTCAATAACAGTATCCAAATTAATACGGGTTATTGACCAAGCGTGAGGTCAAGATAGCTGGATCTTGGTAAAGTTCTTTTTTTTTGCGTGTTTATAGACCGAGATGGAGTCGAGGTCCATAAACTCGCAAAAAATGAACGAGGCCAAATATCCAGCCATCTTGACCCAACAAGCTTGGTCAATAGAGGATTTATTATGGCTAAATTTTCTTGTGGGACACAGCGGGTAATCCCGAGCAGGCAAGATAACTGCATCTTGCCCGCTCGGTTAGCCAATCACGGCGCAGGATTCGGTTCATCTTGCCCGCTCACGGAGATAGCCATATAATAATTTGTAGTGTTGGCGCCTGTCATTAGAATTTATCGGGCATCGACAAGCGATCTGAATATTGCAAATATCTGTGATAAAAACTAGCCATGCAGCAAAGAAACGTCCTCGCTGTGTTAACCCAAAAGAGCGGTTATCAGATTTCTAACCAAATTCATGTAACCCGAGCTAAGCGCGGGAAAATGCATTACACCAAAACGCGATTGGTTTTGGTTTTACATCTCATTGGGGGAATAGGTGGTACTAGTTTCTAAACGAATCACAGCGTCGCAAAAGTAAAACCAAAGCAATTACGAATTACTTTCGACACTCAATCGAAAACCGCTCTACTCGCAATTTAACTGATTAGGTCTGTGTTTTATTTAGTTTTAGTGACCAATCCTTCATATCAAACCTGTTTAATTTTCTCTTCTCCTTCCAAAACCAGTTTCTGCCGCTGATCCACATCTAAGTTGTACTCGTGTCTGTCGAGTCTCTCTATTTCCGGTGCTTGTTGGTTGTCGTTCATCATCTGTAGCACAGTATGACGTAATTCTTGTATCTCCTGACGTAACTTCCGCTTTATTTCAGCGAACTTTTTCGCCTCTTCACGTTGGGTCTGAAAAAGAACGTTCAAATGACTCTGTATAAAAAAGGAACCCTTCGTAAATTCCAAGCTTTCCGTGTTCTACGTACCTCACTAACAGCCCTCTCAAGCCAAGTAGCATCCTCCGAGGGGGTTGGGGTAGGGGTGGTGTAAATACCGTCCTTTACCACCTTCTGTTGTTTTTCGCTCGCTTCAGTATTCGCCTTCTCAACTGGCGAGAGAGGTCTAGGCACGTAGTCTCCTCGCTGAGCCGCCAGACTGTCCTCATCTTTTCGTATGGTGGTCAGCAGTGAGGCGCGCGCACGCGCAGCATCGATAGCCGCGGCGGCCTTGCCTTTACCTAACAACAAACAGTGCTCCTGTTAGCGAGAGAAACACGGACGTTTCCAGCGTTAGCTCTTCTCACTTTGTTCTGAAAAAAGGCTGACGCTCCAATAGTCAGCTTCACTAACTGCTTTATCAGCTTCCAGTTCCCCGCCAACGCAGCTCAACAGTTTCTTTAGAAACCAATATGTTTGCTCTGTCAGCAACAGGCTTGTTCGTTCCGTTATCGACCAAAATTGACTTCAGTTCATACACCCTTTTCCTTTCCTACGGTACGTAACGTTAGATGTCGCAAAGTCATGCTACTATCAGAAACTTTACACATGATCTCAGTTATTTGTGTCCAAGAGAAAGAAAGTAACACTACAGTGTCCCAAGTTCGTTTATGTGTCTTCAAAACTGTACGGGACCTCCTAAAATGTAATCCATGGGCCTCTTTGCCATCTTTAGTCAAATGTGGAGTCAGTTTCACCACTACTGAAGGGTTTCCTATAATGCAGGCCTGTTTTTTTATAAGCTAGTAATGGTGAAATTACCTGTTGATGTGAAGTTCCACACCCAGCAGGCCAGCACTCCATCAGCCCCTGTACTGAGTAGTCGCTGTGAGTCACCAGTGAAACACATGTGAGTTGCTCCACCTCGCTTGTAATGATGCGCTGAGATACGCAATGTACGGTCCTGCAACACAAAATATCTATGGGTTGTCGACCAAACTGGTTCGGTCAAGATGGCTGGATATTGGCCAAGTTCTTTTATGTTAATGGACGGAGTTGAGGTCCATAAACACGCAAAAAAGAACGAGGCCATTATCCAACCAAATTGACCGAAGAAGCTTGATCAATAAAAGATTTATTATACGGAAAAAGAGCACTGTTTTCTTGCGGGATACCGCAGGTAGTCCCGAGCGGGCAAGACAAAGTCATCTTGCCTGCTCAGGTAGCCAATCACAGAGCAGGATTCAGTTCATCTTGCCCGCTCACGTAGCTAGCCATATAATAGAAGTAAATATTGCTCCTTCGCACTCGAAAATATCGTTCATTTTCAATGCAGTCGCAATTCTTAGGTTTAACACCAAAGTCCAAAATAGATCTCTCAGATAAGGTTAGTAAAATGTGGAATACAAACAAATCTTACCAATGCACCAACAGCTCTGAGTAGAAGTTTTCCATCAGGTGAACAGCTGGCGAGCCACCTTAAATGCGGAGACAAGGTAACCAGCCCACCATGCAGCTCATGACCAGGGTATGAACCAGATGGCTGCAGTTTGGAATCCGGTGGAACACCCTGGAGAAAAACAGTCACCATTTTATTATTACCAGAACACAGATAATCAGTATATGCAAGCCACTGCCATGGAGGCTTAAAGAATAAGCAGTTAATGATTGGCCTCAAGGGAACGGTGAGCTTTGTTTCCTCGAGACCATCAAGGGTCGAGGTTTGGTTGTACCTCCCAACTCAATAATAGAACAAACGGCGAAAATATCGTTTGCTTGACGCCGGCTGGTACACAAATTTGTCGTGGTTTCAAGGTGCACGACCGCATCAGGTGCAGTCGAGAGTTCAAGTTGTTGTTTCCCTAGGGAGTTAGCGAGTTTTGTTCGCCCTAAGGAGTTAGTGAGTTTTGACCCATGTACGTGACAAGTTCTCCTCCAATCGATGTATAACAAGCAATTTAATTTCCTTACTTAACACAGCTGTAGTCACCGTCTATGACATAACAAGTTTATTCCATGACATGGTGCACACGACCAAGCAAAAGACTGAAAAGCCATTGCTTGTTCTGCCACGTCTCAAGTTTCCCTCAGATGTCTACTTTTAGCCAATCACAGTTTTCAAGAATTTTTCAAGGAACCTGTTGAGAGTCACGGAATTTTCCAAGACTCTGAAAACTCGAATACAAGGAGCAGAACTATGGGTTGACAACTGAGCGATGAAAGGCAGACAAGTATTGTTACAAACAGAAAGAAGAAAGCCTTGACGTTTTCAATCCTGTGTGCTACCTTGTCTTCTCCTGTAAGTGTTAGTTTGACCATTTCCTTTCTGGCATGTGCCACTGTTAAAGCTGTTTGTGGACTTGTTAGCACTAGACTGTAACATGGAGATGCCAAGTCATGAATGCACTTCTTCACCACTTCATCTCTGTACAGAAGATTCCTGTTCAAAAACGCTTCCTTGGCTCCTGTTCAGGAAAAGAAACCACAATTCTGCGTCATTTTTCTGATGTACAAATTAAATTATTTTCTAATGAGAGGAAACCTTAAAACAGTAGCTTTCTTAAGTAGAAAAATACCGAAAGAATTAAGACGAATGGGTATGACCGAAATTTTACACTTACAATTGGTTCATAAGGTAAACTAAGTCTTCTTCGGTGGACAATGGAAAATATATGCATTAAAAACATGAAAATTTAACACCTTGTAACTTTGAATACAGTTGTTTTGCTTGGTTTGTTTCATTTCATATGATGTTAGAATCAGCTCTTGCTCACATTATAAATTAAAATGTGAATATCTCAGGCCCGGTACAGCATTTGAACGAAGACAGTCAAAGCTTGAGTCTCATCTACTCGTATTACCTATGCATAGCTGCTATAGTAAACCAAGTAAAATGTAAAAATGTAAATCTTATTTATAGTGGTCATGCACTAAGCTATACAAGCACTACGCTTAGCTAGTTTACGGGCATGCCACTGAAACAAAGGAAACAAATATTTCAAATAAACGTAACATAGTTANATTACTCCATTAAAGGTGAAAGCAAAACAACTTCCAATTTGAGGGCCTCGCAAAACACCAATGCATTTGATGATACGAGAGCCTGCCGTTTTGTAGACTTCGTAGTTTTCAAGGAGACGACCTATACTCCAGAGTCCATTTATTCAACTAACCTCCTGAAATGTCACACACCCAAGTTATGAAGCTAATTTACATTATTCACACACACATTCCACACGCATACATTCACACGCTCGTTCCACACGCATGCATTCACACGCTCGTTCCACAGAATTTATTTATTGATAACCCTAACTCACCTGCAACAGAACAATCTGATTGAGTTTCTGCTGGACCGTGTGGAGCTGGAACTGACTCTGAAAAAGCTCATTCCCACCGCCGTACGCGGGGCCACGACTCCCGGATGTAGCAGGGTTATCACCAGTCTTCTCTTCTTCATCCTCAGCCAGGGCATCCTCGTCCTCAAACTCGTGACGTTCATCTGATTTAAGAACAGAAATGAGTAACAAACATGAAAGAAACTGAAGTTACTGGATTCCTTTCTTTCATTTTTCTAACAAAAGGTCAAAGTCTTTCAAGGACCAATACTGTAAGTCCAAAATCTGTGATGTTATGAAAGAAAACAATAGTGAAAACAACATATTTCAAAGCCGTTCAAGCAACAAATTCATTTTCCATAGACGCTTGAGACCTTGAGTTTAAGTTGCGCACCACCTCTGACACGAACACGCTTTTTTGTGGGAGAATACAATGTGAAGCTACTCGAGTTCTTTTACGAATACTTGTCCAAACAACCAATGATCATCTGACTTCAAATTTGGAAATTGCATGCATACTAGTTTTATTGTTAGCTTTTTCCTTGGTAATACCAAAGTTGCAAGATCACTTAAGCCTGGATCACACTTGTGAGATAAACATAACACTGGTGAAATAAGCCTAGGCGCAAGCACAAGAAAAAGGAACATGTTTCTTTCTCTGTGCTTATGCTTGAGCTTATTTCACTGCTGTTATACTTATCTCACAAATGTGAACCAGGCTTTAACAGCGTTCTTGATCTTACCAACAAGAGGTGTGTTCCTGGCTGAAGTCGGACCAGACACTACATCTTTCCTAGCCTCACACTCGGCCTGTTCAATCTTCCTCTGGTTACTGACATATTGAATCTCGTCCAGTTCAGCTTTGGTTCTCTCCTTCATCGGGTAGTTGGACACTGACAAAGGAAGATGAAAGGCATTGACTGACCGTCCCTTGACAACCATGGCGTCCCAGCATTCTTTCTTGATCATGTCTCGTAAGTACTGGTTGGCAAGATTAGCCAGGCCTATGTCCTCACGGACCTGTTATTACACAATATTAAAACCAGTGATAGATTTTTAGTATATGCCCTCAATAACAGTATCCAAATTAATACGGGTTATTGACCAAGCGTGAGGTCAAGATAGCTGGATCTTGGTAAAGTTCTTTTTTTTTGCGTGTTTATAGACCGAGATGGAGTCGAGGTCCATAAACTCGCAAAAAATGAACGAGGCCAAATATCCAGCCATCTTGACCCAACAAGCTTGGTCAATAGAGGATTTATTATGGCTAAATTTTCTTGTGGGACACAGCGGGTAATCCCGAGCAGGCAAGATAACTGCATCTTGCCCGCTCGGTTAGCCAATCACGGCGCAGGATTCGGTTCATCTTGCCCGCTCACGGAGATAGCCATATAATAATTTGTAGTGTTGGCGCCTGTCATTAGAATTTATCGGGCATCGACAAGCGATCTGAATATTGCAAATATCTGTGATAAAAACTAGCCATGCAGCAAAGAAACGTCCTCGCTGTGTTAACCCAAAAGAGCGGTTATCAGATTTCTAACCAAATTCATGTAACCCGAGCTAAGCGCGGGAAAATGCATTACACCAAAACGCGATTGGTTTTGGTTTTACATCTCATTGGGGGAATAGGTGGTACTAGTTTCTAAACGAATCACAGCGTCGCAAAAGTAAAACCAAAGCAATTACGAATTACTTTCGACACTCAATCGAAAACCGCTCTACTCGCAATTTAACTGATTAGGTCTGTGTTTTATTTAGTTTTAGTGACCAATCCTTCATATCAAACCTGTTTAATTTTCTCTTCTCCTTCCAAAACCAGTTTCTGCCGCTGATCCACATCTAAGTTGTACTCGTGTCTGTCGAGTCTCTCTATTTCCGGTGCTTGTTGGTTGTCGTTCATCATCTGTAGCACAGTATGACGTAATTCTTGTATCTCCTGACGTAACTTCCGCTTTATTTCAGCGAACTTTTTCGCCTCTTCACGTTGGGTCTGAAAAAGAACGTTCAAATGACTCTGTATAAAAAAGGAACCCTTCGTAAATTCCAAGCTTTCCGTGTTCTACGTACCTCACTAACAGCCCTCTCAAGCCAAGTAGCATCCTCCGAGGGGGTTGGGGTAGGGGTGGTGTAAATACCGTCCTTTACCACCTTCTGTTGTTTTTCGCTCGCTTCAGTATTCGCCTTCTCAACTGGCGAGAGAGGTCTAGGCACGTAGTCTCCTCGCTGAGCCGCCAGACTGTCCTCATCTTTTCGTATGGTGGTCAGCAGTGAGGCGCGCGCACGCGCAGCATCGATAGCCGCGGCGGCCTTGCCTTTACCTAACAACAAACAGTGCTCCTGTTAGCGAGAGAAACACGGACGTTTCCAGCGTTAGCTCTTCTCACTTTGTTCTGAAAAAAGGCTGACGCTCCAATAGTCAGCTTCACTAACTGCTTTATCAGCTTCCAGTTCCCCGCCAACGCAGCTCAACAGTTTCTTTAGAAACCAATATGTTTGCTCTGTCAGCAACAGGCTTGTTCGTTCCGTTATCGGCCAAAATTGACTTCAGTTCATACACCCTTTTCCTTTCCTACGGTACGTAACGTTAGATGTCGCAAAGTCATGCTACTATCAGAAACTTTACACATGATCTCAGTTATTTGTGTCCAAGAGAAAGAAAGTAACACTACAGTGTCCCAAGTTCGTTTATGTGTCTTCAAAACTGTACGGGACCTCCTAAAATGTAATCCATGGGCCTCTTTGCCATCTTTAGTCAAATGTGGAGTCAGTTTCACCACTACTGAAGGGTTTCCTATAATGCAGGCCTGTTTTTTTATAAGCTAGTAATGGTGAAATTACCTGTTGATGTGAAGTTCCACACCCAGCAGGCCAGCACTCCATCAGCCCCTGTACTGAGTAGTCGCTGTGAGTCACCAGTGAAACACATGTGAGTTGCTCCACCTCGCTTGTAATGATGCGCTGAGATACGCAATGTACGGTCCTGCAACACAAAATATCTATGGGTTGTCGACCAAACTGGTTCGGTCAAGATGGCTGGATATTGGCCAAGTTCTTTTATGTTAATGGACGGAGTTGAGGTCCATAAACACGCAAAAAAGAACGAGGCCATTATCCAACCAAATTGACCGAAGAAGCTTGATCAATAAAAGATTTATTATACGGAAAAAGAGCACTGTTTTCTTGCGGGATACCGCAGGTAGTCCCGAGCGGGCAAGACAAAGTCATCTTGCCTGCTCAGGTAGCCAATCACAGAGCAGGATTCAGTTCATCTTGCCCGCTCACGTAGCTAGCCATATAATAGAAGTAAATATTGCTCCTTCGCACTCGAAAATATCGTTCATTTTCAATGCAGTCGCAATTCTTAGGTTTAACACCAAAGTCCAAAATAGATCTCTCAGATAAGGTTAGTAAAATGTGGAATACAAACAAATCTTACCAATGCACCAACAGCTCTGAGTAGAAGTTTTCCATCAGGTGAACAGCTGGCGAGCCACCTTAAATGCGGAGACAAGGTAACCAGCCCACCATGCAGCTCATGACCAGGGTATGAACCAGATGGCTGCAGTTTGGAATCCGGTGGAACACCCTGGAGAAAAACAGTCACCATTTTATTATTACCAGAACACAGATAATCAGTATATGCAAGCCACTGCCATGGAGGCTTAAAGAATAAGCAGTTAATGATTGGCCTCAAGGGAACGGTGAGCTTTGTTTCCTCGAGACCATCAAGGGTCGAGGTTTGGTTGTACCTCCCAACTCAATAATAGAACAAACGGCGAAAATATCGTTTGCTTGACGCCGGCTGGTACACAAATTTGTCGTGGTTTCAAGGTGCACGACCGCATCAGGTGCAGTCGAGAGTTCAAGTTGTTGTTTCCCTAGGGAGTTAGCGAGTTTTGTTCGCCCTAAGGAGTTAGTGAGTTTTGACCCATGTACGTGACAAGTTCTCCTCCAATCGATGTATAACAAGCAATTTAATTTCCTTACTTAACACAGCTGTAGTCACCGTCTATGACATAACAAGTTTATTCCATGACATGGTGCACACGACCAAGCAAAAGACTGAAAAGCCATTGCTTGTTCTGCCACGTCTCAAGTTTCCCTCAGATGTCTACTTTTAGCCAATCACAGTTTTCAAGAATTTTTCAAGGAACCTGTTGAGAGTCACGGAATTTTCCAAGACTCTGAAAACTCGAATACAAGGAGCAGAACTATGGGTTGACAACTGAGCGATGAAAGGCAGACAAGTATTGTTACAAACAGAAAGAAGAAAGCCTTGACGTTTTCAATCCTGTGTGCTACCTTGTCTTCTCCTGTAAGTGTTAGTTTGACCATTTCCTTTCTGGCATGTGCCACTGTTAAAGCTGTTTGTGGACTTGTTAGCACTAGACTGTAACATGGAGATGCCAAGTCATGAATGCACTTCTTCACCACTTCATCTCTGTACAGAAGATTCCTGTTCAAAAACGCTTCCTTGGCTCCTGTTCAGGAAAAGAAACCACAATTCTGCGTCATTTTTCTGATGTACAAATTAAATTATTTTCTAATGAGAGGAAACCTTAAAACAGTAGCTTTCTTAAGTAGAAAAATACCGAAAGAATTAAGACGAATGGGTATGACCGAAATTTTACACTTACAATTGGTTCATAAGGTAAACTAAGTCTTCTTCGGTGGACAATGGAAAATATATGCATTAAAAACATGAAAATTTAACACCTTGTAACTTTGAATACAGTTGTTTTGCTTGGTTTGTTTCATTTCATATGATGTTAGAATCAGCTCTTGCTCACATTATAAATTAAAATGTGAATATCTCAGGCCCGGTACAGCATTTGAACGAAGACAGTCAAAGCTTGAGTCTCATCTACTCGTATTACCTATGCATAGCTGCTATAGTAAACCAAGTAAAATGTAAAAATGTAAATCTTATTTATAGTGGTCATGCACTAAGCTATACAAGCACTACGCTTAGCTAGTTTACGGGCATGCCACTGAAACAAAGGAAACAAATATTTCAAATAAACGTAACATAGTTAAAAATCCCAAGTGGCAGGAGGCAGACCAGTTGGCTATTTACAAAGCGTGACCGAAAATTTGAACTCCGGACTGCCAACAAGTACTTGTCTAGTAATTTAGCTCACCATTCAAAATGTCTGTGGTGACTTCAAATTCTAGTAGTTTTGTTGCAAATGGTTTGTTATGACTTGTACGGTATGCCACTGCAATCTTCCAAGGTCCCTGGCCATCTTTTTCACGAGCATTTAGAGTAGCTATTGAGCACACTGTGCCTTTCACATCTTCATCAACAAGAAAACAAAGTTATGTTACTGGTTATGCATCTGTGAACTTGTAAGGAAGTTTAAAGATTTCATGAAAAAGCCAGCCCATCAGATTGCCAGACAAAAAGAATTTCTTAGAAACAGGAAAAATAGCATCTACACTGTTCCACTTTTCAGACTGGTATCTGAGCAACATAACTACGTTACTCGAAGTGCATGCCTACAACACTTAAATCCCGGTTTCTCCAGAATAAATATAAGGAAATTTTGTCCCACTGTTATTGGATGTTACTATTGGAATGACCTTCCTTTATCTATACATAACTTAGCGACTAGAAAACGTTTTAAAAAAGCACTCTTCCAGTATTATTTTGCTCAGTYTTAATTAATTCATACCTCTTCCTCTCCTATGTTAAGTTAACTTTTTTACCCTAATTATTATTATCAATTAAACAAGGGCATCTAATTAGCTTGCTATATTTTTGCCCTTTTCCATTTCTCCTCTTACTTGTCTACTTTATATTTATCTTTGTAATGTTAGAATGGAATAAATAAATAAAATGAAAAATGAAAATGAACAGAGAATCACCATGATAGAAAAACAACAAGCAAACAACAATTGAGTCATTTGTACCTAAATGTCCAAGAACTTTGAAATTGTTGCTGACTCTTGCATCGCACACAAACACATGGCCATCATTGGAGCCTGTCACATACATCTGACCACTCCAGTCATAGCTGTGAAGATACAAATATTGAGAAAAAACGACATGAAGTTGACCAAAGTGTATAATATTATCAGCCTAAAAATTTAGGTTTAAGACACAATAAATGGAAATGAAACCTCTGGAATGCCTGACCTCAATAATTCAAAATTGGTTGGACTTAAACAAAGAGGTCACATAAACAAAAACATTCAACATAATAATTTAGGACTTTTGAGAAAATTGAAGTCCAGATGATGAAGAAGTCTGAAAAATACAGCTTCGGATTGCAAAAACATATAATTACCACAAATTTTTTTACGATAACCAGGCAGTCACACACACACATACCTTAGCTGTAGAACAGGCCCATGGTGAAGATGACTCCTGTAAATAAGCCGTGGCTTCTCAACATCAGTCATCTCTACAAAGTACACATGGCCAGTCATGCAACCAACCGCCACTGTGCTAGAGGACGGACTGCACTGCATACATGACGCCTATGCATGAAAACAAGAGACAGTGGCATGAAACTTACATACATCATAGCACTGAGACAATTAAAAGCACTGTCTCTGAGAATTTTATGAAAATACAAAAACATTCTGAAGACTTGAGGACATAAAATAATGCTTATTCTTCTTTCCAGGCTTACCCAATACATTTCTTGTTACCAACACATTCAACAAACAAATTGCATAATTTGGGCAAAATACACCAACTGCTGGCATTTCCTATTGCTGGTCATTTCACAGGTTCTCATCACCAACATATACATGTACTATTTTATATCAATATCACTATGAGAACTTTGATACTGATCAAACTATTGAATGATTCTCTGATGGCATATCAGAAGTAAGTCACCACTTAAATTGATCCATGATGCAAAGAAGTACAGAGTTCACACAGAGGAAAGATAAAAATGGTTATAAAAGTAAGTCGTCCAATGATACATGCAATGTAAATTACTGTAACAGTAAATATTCTAAAACAAGGGTTACCTAAGATTAATTTATACATGTACCTGACAATCCAAGTTGATTTTGCTGACAAGGTTGCTAGTTTGTATGTCCCATACCTGTAAGAGACCATCTGCTTTACAGCTCTGAAAAACAGGAAAGGTAACACAAGTTTCCAAAAAGACCTGCACATTTTCTCATAATACATGAAGACAAGAACCCCTTGCCCTGCCCTGCCCTGTCTGCTAACACTTTCAGCACTGTAACAAGTTTATAGCCCTGAACGTATTAATGAATAGCCGGGAACCTCAAAGCCTTGGGGGGGGGGGNGGGGTTTGTGTTTTGCCATATTGTATAGGGGGTAAAATATCATATGGCTTGGTACCATTTCAGGGAGGGGGGCATATTGCACATGACCCAATGCAAGCATTTTCCTAGGACTTTCTGGGGTATCTTAAGTATGTAAGCTGGCAAAAAATAATAAGACAGCAGCTATCTCTGTTTTCAAATTGGTACTTCTTACATACAAAAATGTGGGCAATTTACAAATGAATTTCCACCATACCCTCAAAACACCATCCTGCGGGGTTTTAGGAGTGTTACAACTTTTTGATTCATGACCATCTGGTCACTTATATGTGGGAGTTCCCTCCCGGTATCATAATAAAGATGATATCATTAACAACATCACACAGATTTTCTAAGTTCTATTATTTAAAAAAAATTTTCCTTTCTTACCACACAGTACTGAGTTCCTGCCGTTAGACAATCAACACCAACAAACTCAGCATTATGAACATCAAACAAATCTGTCACAGATCCTTCAGAATCATACAGATGAACAGACCCCTGAAGAATAAATTATAATAATTTAAATAATTATTACTGCATCCCCTTTCATGTGTTGACCTGAAAGTCATAAGGTACAACCACTCAACTTGTTCAATAATTGATCTTATTATATGGAGAAGAGTGTTTTACTGGGAACTAAACCACTCGTAGATTCCATACGCCACTTCATCCAGGCCCCGAGTGGCGTATTTTCCGTATGTCACCTTTGTGAGTGTCGTATCGTTCAATGACTTCACGATTCCCACCTTTTGCTTTTGTTGAATTGGTTTCTCCATATAATAAAAAGACCATTACACGTTGGCTTGAAGATATGAATTTTATGTTCTCGTGGCAAGAACAATATCTCACTTGTTCGCTTCGCTCACTCGTGAGATATTGTTCTTGCCACTCGAACATAAAATTCATATCTTCTCGCCACCGTGTAATATCCTCTATATATTTAACTCTGGCTACACATGTGCATACATTCAAGAAACACATACATGCCCTCTTGTCTTAACTTACCTGATGCAAACATGAAAGAGAGCTGTTTTGTTCAGTTCACAAACTCCAAACCCTCTGTCATATTTGCATCAAGCTATTAGGTTATTGGCCTCAAATCATGAGTTCAAGATGGCTGGATATCAGCCAACTTGTTTTTGCCTGATTTTGTCTATTTTCTTCAGCTATGCCAACTCTTCCAGGTTATCCAGGAGTCATTTCAATATGATGCTGAATCTTCTGGTCTCCCATATACAGGTCACGGAATCTCCCAAATACAAAGAATAGTGCTCATCAACATACACATTTTCATCGTATTTTGGCCAGTTTTGGGACATTTTGCAGGATATGTGGGTCTCGTGAGTCATTTACCGGGTTGAATTAGACAGACGTTACAGTAATTATGTACTATGTTTGTCGGGGTTGAGTAGAGGCCAAATCCACAAGCTCGCAATATGTTTGACTTTTTTCAGGTTGGCATCTCTGTTTCTTGCGGGGAACATCAGGCATGATCAGGTTATCCTTAGGGAGCAAGATAGCCTCATATCTTGCCCCCTAGGGTAGCCCATCATAGAGCAGGTTTTGGTTTATCTCATGTCCACTCATGTAGCCAGCCATAAAACAAACTGAGAGTATCTGTTTCCATGTTTTGCAATTCATCTTGGTTACATTGTATTTTTGTATCTATACACTCCCTATACCTTAGAGCTGCCAAGAGCCATTGTACGATAGTTTGGTGACCAGTTAAGACTAGTCACAGAACAACCAATGTCAATCTGTTCCAGGACTCTAGGTTCAGGGCTTGATATGTCCAAGCACTGTAATACTCCATTCTATAAGTGAACAAATCTACATCAAATTCAAAACCAAATCCTAGTTAAAAGTCTTGGAACAACATTGTGTTGAAACTAAGGGTGATGTCTTACTGGAAAATAAATCCTACAGGCATCTAGAAAAATGAATAATAATTATTATATCTTTTACTCCAAAGTCAAGTGGTATCTACAAAATAGATATTTTTTTCAGAATTGTTTTGCTACTATGTTTTAAGCATAAAACATTTTAATATCACAAAGTTACAACTTAGTTCTAGTGAATAACCCCACTTAACACTCCCTTTGAGAATTCTCCTGATCATCATTGTCACATTCTTCTAATCTTCTTTAAAGCAAATGTTATGGCTTTAGTAAATACAAGGGGCAGATCTAGGTGGAGGGTGCAGGGGGTGCGCACCCCCTCCCCCTCCCCCTGAGATGAAGCCTTCTTCTTCATATTTGCTCTTAAAATTTGGTTACCTCACCAGTCAGTTACTCCATTCCTTAGTGGTGCACCCCCTCCTAAGAAAAATCCTGGATCCACCCCTGAAAGAGAACTTGTAGTCTGATCATGACAAACCTGGCCAGCTACATAAAGTCCTTTCTTGTGCAAGGCTAGACAATCTGCTGAGCCCTGTCCTACATGAGCTGCATCTGTTCCCTTGGGCTTTTCTTCATTATCGGGTACTTCACCTGACAAGAATAAAATAATCATTTTAGTATGACTTCTGCAGTCAGTAAACGGCAAACTTTGCATACCAAGTTCTCCTAATAGGACGGAGTCATTAATCCATCTTGAATTTTAAGCTTAGCTTAGCCAAGTCTCAGGTCTCAAAAACTCACACGCGCTGAAATCAATTTTGGGTTGTAAAGTAAACAGGTCTTGTGGGTCTCAATAAATCAATATATACATTGATTATTTTGTAGTTAACAGACTTCACTTTTCTTGTATATAAACATTTTATGGGGCAGATTTTATGTACTCCTGAATAGAACACATTCTCCTACACTAGATACTGAAGTGGAAAGTACAAAACGCAGACTGCAGACTTCAGTCTGCATTTTATGCGGATTAGATACTCAAGGAGTGTTCAAAAAAAATTATAATAATTATTAGTTCCACAAAAAGTAGACACTTTTCAGGGAGAAATAGACAAAAAACAATATTTAATATTACTTTGCTCTTCTTCAGTTTCCACGATAGATTCCATAGTTGTCTTCCGCAACAGGGATAATGTATCTGTTCTGTCCCGTTGTGATTCCTGAGCACTTGGGTTCAATACAATGGTAACTCGATTAGTTTCAGTGTCAACACAGATGACCTGGCCATCTTTACAGCCACAGTACAATTTACTGTCCGCTGTCCAGCAGTGGCTTATTGGCTGACACCTCTCCTTCTTCTCGCCTGCAACAGAACAGAGTAAGAATGCACATAATTTTTTAATCACCTCAAAGGATTTTGATGTGACAGGATAGTTCTAATCCACGATGATGATCTGAAACTATTTGTTAATTAATTATCTTTTGTATATATATGATGATTATTATAAGTATAAAACTACTAGTGTTCTGAATCACAAAATTCTGTTCTCTTATTGGCTACAGTGCTCACCATCTATTCTGCTGTAGATAATGAGTAGCCTAGCAGTGTGCTGTTGTTAATAAAACTGAGGCCACTTCTTTTGTGTTTTCAAAGTGTCTACAGGTGAAAAGGATTTAGATGAAGCTAAGAATGACTGGTAGATTTATACAGTGTACTAAAACAATTTGATTACGAGCTTGAGATTTCTATGCATGATAGTTGATGAGGGTGCAGCCCAAGTCAACTAACAACACATGATAGAAATCTTGAGCTCATAATCTAATTGTTAAATACTTAATATACCAACCTGGCTCATAATCCTTGGCAGTCTCTCCAATTAATCCAGCAATAGCTGCTTTAGTTATTCTATATCCTTCAGGATAGCTCATACGACTAACAGATGGCCCCAAATCTTCAAATTCATCGTCTTCTGGACTGCCATCAGCTGGAGGAAGCCTTAATGAACTAAAAACACATTTTGATGTCTCATATTAAAAACATTGAGTGAACATGCAAGTCAGTGTGCAGTACATGCTAATACTTTGCATGAAAACAATGCCTCGTTCCATTTAGATTTACATGTACTATCAGCAACATAATTTTTAGCAACGGGCTTTTCCAGAAACCAATCCATTATGTATGGCTTTTTGGTTTGAATCTACACTTCCTTGAAATTTCAAATGGTCTTCCAGATGGTGGAATCACAGTACCTCAGTATTTGCAGTTCGAGCAAAATTAATTAAAATCATGGATCCCTGATTAAACCTGATTAAACCTGATTAAAAACCCTGCAGAAACAAACCAAAAGGCTATATATAGCTAGATAACAAGCAAGGTAAAATGACTTGAAAATGTAGAAACCTTGAGACTAGTGAGTATTTAGTGTTCAGCTGGCCAATATTCCACAATGTCAGGATGTCACTTGACACAGTACATAATTGTCGCCAGTTTGTTGGATTGAATGACAGTCCAGAACACACACGCCTTCCCACATCAACAGAGCAAAGTTTCACTTTGTCAAACCAGTTCCTAAAATAATTGAATGTTCAGAACCATGGTCATTTAGTATTGCTCAATAAATATTTTATAGCTTGATTAACCTCTTGAATATTACTATTATTAGCATAATTATATTGTTTGACATGAAATGGTGCAAATTATGTGAAGTCATAGTTTGTATCTGGCAAAAATATTGAAGACTGGAGAAACAAACCTTAAAGTACTGGAAAGGTCAGTAACAATTAAGTATTGACAAATTACAAAAGCAAGATCATATACGAAATCTACATTGACTTGTACAAGTGGTCATGATATATAATACATGTAATATTATTAATGGGCATCTAATTGGTTTCAGTATGTAGGTTAAACAAATAACAGACTAATGCTGTGTTTTCACGAGAGAGGTTTACTACGGTTACTGTTTACTGAGGTTTCATAGCTAAACCGCAGTTATTAGAGAAGCTGTTTACACAAAACTAATTAAGTAAAGTAGGCCACATACAACGGACGGTTTGAGGTTTTCTCGGAAAGCAAGTGCTACAATGTTGCTCAGAAACTATTGGAAAATTATAAAATTTGACTTTA